CTCCTCATTTGCTATAAATAGCCCCCCTATGGCCTCATTTGGGGGGGCTCTTGATTGTGGGGTGAATTCCAAGGCTGAATTATCTTAGCCAAGGATTGCCTTCTTCCGAAGCGGCGAAGCCCTGCCGGAGCGAGGAGTCGGAGTTTTCTAAGAGAGCGGCGAAGCCCTGCTGGAGCGAGGAGTCAGAGGATCTACATCAGCCCCCCCTTCATTCATCTCTTCCCCTTGGTATTGGCCTTAGCGTTGATACCAAGAAGAGCTAGTGTCTCGTTTTAAGCCGAGACATAAGCTTTACACCTCTGAGATCTCACGCGGATCGACGGGGTTCTGTTTCCATATCCCTTCGCGGATAGACGAAACTCTGCCCGATTTTCTCGACCAGATCTGAGTGCCCCCGGTGGTCCACGGATATCAACATCCCCGTCACAGGCAAAAGACCCACGCAAGCAAGAGATGACAAACAGATCTTGCGTTTGTTTGAAAAGAGTTGTATCTGTTTTGTTTTCATTGTGTACCGGTCTTATAAAAAGGCTATCTTTTTATTTCATTGTAACGATTGAAGTTGTAATGAATGCAGCAATGAATACAGCAACTTTTTCCGCAAACAGTCTTTAGCCTGTGACGGGGACCAACGGCATCGCAACCGACGCCGTCGTGACGCAACCAGCACTCAAGATCGGGGTGAATGAAGAACACGAGCTCGATCAACAACGGTTCAAAGAAGGCCTCTCTTCCTCCTCCTCCAGATCCGCCTCTCCAAACGGGTACAGAAAGGTAACCTCTTTCATAAATGATTGCAGGTCCTTCGGTTCAAAAATCCAAGACCCCGTTGCCGCCTCTGCACTTGCACCACGCGACGTCCCCACGTCGTCCAAAATGGTCGAGATCGCAGATCCGGACTCCTCTTCCGCCGAGGAGATGACTTCTGAAGACGCTCCGGCATTATCAAAGAGAGCACGACAAAGACAACGTCAACGTCTTGCTCGACAACTTGCCGAGGCTTTGGAGCCAATGGATGGGATCCGCTATAACGTAGATCTAAAATCCAGGCAACGCCAGGAGCAACCACGGCAAACAACCAGCCCCTCCTCCGAAGCAGAAACAAACAAATGGGTTCATGTCAAAAGAACCCGTTCTACTCTCGAGGAGCGAATCCAGAAGCGCCGCGCCTTGCGTGCGCATGCCCGAGCCCTGGTCCAAAAAGCACGAGAAATGCTAAAGGGAGAGGCCGTTAAGAGATCGCCGAGGTCCGAACGAGTTTGGATGCCAAAGGCCGAATCAACGCCTAAGGTAAAAGCAGGTAATATTGCTCTCCAACCTTCGTCAATTTCAGATCCCGAACCTCTGGAAAAGCCCCACCGCAGCGCGGATTTCCCCAAGTTCAAGAATCCTCCGAAGGATCGTACCGGTGCTCTACCCGAGGATCGAGGAAAAGCGCTTGATAAGGAGAGCTCGAGATCATCAAACGAGCTGCAAGCCAATACCCGGACTGGGGGTCGTACGCGACCTCCTAACAAACGGATTCCTACAACGGCCAGCTCGGCGGAGCGTGCAAAGGACCAAGAGCCCGTTAAGGTTTCACCCTCACAAAGGAGTGATTCCAAACGTGCGACTCTTACAGAGGCCAACAAGGCAATGTTTACTCAGAAGAAGACGCGTCGGACAGACGAACGCGTTATACCTGAGAACCCAT